CCAGCGATTCTTTCTTTTAGAGTTGAGAGCTGTTCTCTTGGCAGATGACAGTTGGCTCTCATCTGATTTTCCAAATGCCTTCAGCTTTTATACCCTTGATGTCATATCAGTTTCTTATAATAAGATTGGTTCTATGTTGCCAAAACCGTCAGATTTAAATTTAATTGGGTTTTGGTATCTAAGAGCCTGGTTTAAATTAATTGGTAAAAATGCTGCTTTGCCAGCTAACAGTACAGCCTTTTGATACTTACAGGTGCTCTGTGCACCTGCAAGCCCACAGCCATCCTTTTTGAATCTCTAAGCATAGAAAATACACTATCTTTTAAAGGGACCATGCACTGCTTTCCCCATAGCATTTTACAAACACAAACGGTTTACAAACACCAAATTCCAATGTCCTGCCTTCCAGTCCACAAGTACTCTACCCAACTTCACAACACTAGCCAAGCATGTGAGTTGGCTAAAAAGCATTTAGAAAGTTCTCAACAAACAGTGAAAAATGCAGCAGAAAGAAAAAGCCAAAGTTTGAAATTTAATTATAGGAGACAAAGTGTTAATGTTGTTACCTGTCTCAGAGGAGCTATTAGAAACAAGATTCAGAGGACCGGATCAAATAAAATTTAAAAAAAAAAGTGAATCATATAGTGAGTACTCCAGACAGGAGAAAGAATCAGTGGATGTTTCATTTTAACATGTTCGAAAAGATATTGTAACAGGGATAATAGTCAGGAAAAAATGTACTTACTGCAATGAAAGAAGTAGGGAATGAAACTGAAATATCAGAAGAATTAGAGAGTGAATCAGAAATTGAAAATTCAGTTGTTTGCTCTCCAATAATCAGATTGGAAAACGCAGACGTGCTTAAAGGATTAGATTATGTCATGTTTATTTTCCAGAAAACTGTCAAAGTTAGGATGGTGATTACAGAATTATAAATCAGTTAATGGGATTAGGCCAGGAAGAACGATTTTTTGATTGTTCATGTTGTTAATTTGGGAGAACGTGTTTGTTATAAAACAAAACCTGTACATACTCAAACGAACAAGATAACCTCAAATGAGAGAAGAGGTTAAATGAATGATGGACAATGACATTATTGAACTGAGTCATATTTGCTGGAACTTGCCTTTTGTGATGGTGTCAAAACCAGATGTGTTAAAAAGATTCTAGATTGACCATCGTAAAGTCAACATGTTAATGCAATGGACTCGTATCTTATTGAGACTGAAAGACTGTAATGGACAAGTTAGACACACAATTTGTCACAAAGATCGACTTGCTAAGCAACTATTGGCAAATTCCATTCACTGATGGAGCTAAAGAAATATTGACTTTTCTAAAACCAGATGGATGCTATCAATGCAAAACCATGTCATTGGAATGAAAAGTGAGCCAGCAGCATTTGAACAATCAATCAATAGTGTAATTGAAGGACTATGTAACTGTTGTTTGATTGACAATTTGGTTTTTAACCAAACCTGAGAATAAACTTTTACACCACTTGACTGAAAGTTTGATCAACAACAAAGAGCTAATTTCATTATATAGCTGACTAAGAGTGAATTTGGCAAGGCAAAGATAACATACTTGGGTCACATTTTGGGACAAAGGCAAGTAGCACCTAGAGAGGCGACAGTATGTATTGTTTTGGATTTCCCCATGCCTAGAATGAAATGTGAAATTTTGCAATATTTTGGCATGAATGGATTTTAGCTCAAATTTGTTCCAAACCTCAGCACTGTTGTTGCACTTTTAACAGACTCGTTGAAAAAAGGCAGAACATTTGAATGGATGCAGGAATGTTAAAGTGCCTTTGAAAACTTGAAAGCTGTGCTGATAGCTGCATGGATTTTAGCTGCAGCTACATAGCAGAGGCTATTCAAACTTGCTGTTGATGCCTGTCACATCAGTGTGGTGACTGTTTTACTGCAAGATATTAAAATGCAGACCAAATGGTCTGTCAGTTATTTTCAAAGAAATTGAGTATATATCAACAAGAATATTCCACTTGGTTAGAGACAAAAACTGCAAATGTTGGAATCCAAAGTAGACACACAGGAGGCTGGAAGAACACAGCAGGCCAGGCAGCATCTGGAGGAAAGAAGTCAACATTTCAGGTATTATCCTTCTTCAAGAATATTCCACAGTGGAGCAAGAGGCATCAAGGCTTCTTCGTTCCACATAGTCTTTAAATAAACACCAGCACCAACAATGTGGAAGAAAGTATTAAATGGACCACAATTCTTTGATTTTCTTCAAAAATTTTGAGACAAGATCTAATGATTATTTAAATAGAGTTTATTTCTCCAACCTTACAATATGAAAATCACTCATGTACCTGGAAAATAAAATTTCCTAGCAGGTGCTTTATTGAGAGAACATTTGAAGTACATTGATATGGTGCCCATGAACTTGTGTAAAATATTGTTGGTATGTACCTCACTATGCTTAATGTCAACATGTTACTACTATTTGTTTGACATCGAAGTTGTGTTAAGATTTTTGAGTCATGAAAATGCCTCATAAAGATACCTTTTCATTCTTGTTTGGGTGGAGATGTGATGTAAGGTATGTGATTTATATATTTTGGTATTGTTTATTTTTATCTGGATTTTTGAATTTGAGCTAGTGGCATATGGGTTTTCTGTATGTGTGAAAGCTTAATTGTTAATTTACTACTAAATTAAGCATTTAAATAATTAAAAAAACAGAAACTGTTGGAAAAACTCTGTAGGTCTGACAACATCTGTGGAGAGAAAGCAGGGTTAACGTTTCAGGTCTGCTGAGCCTTTTTCAGAATTGAACCTGAAACATTAACTCTGCTTTCTTTCTAAAGATGCTGCCAGACCTGCTGGGTTTTCCCAGCAATTTCTGTTTTTGTTTCTGATTTCCAGCATCCACAGTTTAAAAAAAACTTAAGTATTTAAGTATAAAAGCCTTAATGATTTCTTTGAAAACACATTGTGAGGAAATTACTTTCTGGAGAATAATGTGATTTTGTTTCCATTGGGAGTATTTTACTAGTATACAGAGTAAGCAGGTGTAATTAGGTTCCGATTTAGAAGGCCAGGAATTTTTTTTTCTTATGATGGGGAACATTGGTAGCTTGGAAAAACTTTTTTTTTTTTTTTTGTTTCGGTTTGGACAGTTCCGCAGTATTTTGGTTGAAATTGGGTGTTGAGAAAGGGAGTTAATTAGGATTGTTTAAAAAAGAAACCCTCCATGTTAGAAGTTAATAAAAGTTCCAGACCAGAAGTGTTTGGTTCAAAGGCTGAAGGGGCTGTTTGAAGCTGAGGAAGTAAGCTTAGTTGCATGACTTTTTGAGGAAGAAGTGATCAGATTCTTGAGATCAGGAATTCAAGCCACAGTTAAATTAAGCCCCTATAGAGGTGATGGAGAAACAACTTCTCTCTGGTGTAAATGAAGGGGTACTTTTGGATTTAATGTGATTATATTTTCACTGTGTTTAAAAGACTTTAAACTGTCTTAGAGAAATGGTTTAGTTTGTTTTATTGGTAAAACCAAATCTGCGTCATTGTGTAGTCTTGTTTCAGTGAGACACCATTTCATTAAAACTAGAAAAATATCTTATCAAGCCAGATTTCAGTCTGGGATCTGACTTGGTCCAGTAATAACATCACTTGGGATCATAACAACATGTAAAGGGAGAATAAGGCTATGGACAAGTAATCCATGGTACACTTGTGCAATTTATTCACCAGCTAATGCATTCATTTAGAAAGAACATGAATTTACATTGTATCTTTCACATCTTTTGAATATCACAAGGTACTTTATAGTTAATGAATAGGCTTTGAAGTCTAGCCATTGTTTTGTGGGAAAGTGCGACACTTTGCCATTGGTGGGATCTTGCACACTGCAATGAGATTAATGAGCTTTTTGATGCTGTTGATAAAAGATAATTGATGTTCATCAATGATTACATAGGCTTTGGAGTATTCCTGTAAACTAATGTCAAAAGATTCAAAAGTGCAACTGAATATTTTAAGAGATGCCGATTATTTTCGGCTTGAGATTGAGAGTCACTCACGATTATTTGTAGCAAAAGCTTGATACCTTGGGGAGTGAAGTCTTTTTTCCCTAGACTTGAATTCCAGAATGGTTTACCCAATGTGATTCAGTGATAGAGATCTACAGTTACAGGTTCTAACATGTATCCTAAAGCTCATGGCTAGTTAGTGAGAAAGAAGAATTGTATGTGGTGAAGTTGTGGATTTGCATGTACCGTATTTAATCTGATGAGCGTTCTTGGTGAATTTAATGTCGTGATATTTGAACGATGGTACCTCCCCATGATTGGACCTTCGTACGGGCCAATTTTCAGTTTTAGCAATGTCATTTTTTTGTGGAGTATAAAACACTTTCTAACCTGTGAAGAGTTCCAGCAATTTAATAATTGTAATGTTCAAGTTGTTAGCTTTCTTCGCAGTGCAGCATGCCAGCACAGTAGTCACCAAAGCATTCTTTTTAGTATTAAATAATGAGATTCAATTACGAAGCATTTATAGTAACCGTGAAAAAGATCCCAGAGGCAACCTCCACATGTGAACCAATATCAAATGCATCAGTTTTGTAGCCTGGGAGTCAATCTGGTCCAGTTAGAAATTAATATCAATATGAATTGCACACTGAGTAGTTTCACAACATTTACACAATTTGTACATACAAATTAACATTGATAAAGTGCATTGGTAAACAAGCTGAACATTCAAAACATTATTTAATGATTTGTTGCCATCTGGCAGAAAAACGAGGAGATAGAATTTTCAGTCTGGAAACTCTGTTAGTGCGTGATGCCTTCATAAAATCCAATGAAACCAGGTCGTTTTCAGAAATATTGCGATTCAGGAATAAATCTTTTTAAGGTTCCTCAGAATTGGATTTGCGCTTTCATATATCTATTTTGCTCGTGTTTTTGTGCTGATTTGAGGTGACATGATGTTTTTTGAGTCTAAAATTAATAACTTTTTATTTTAAAGGCAATACAACATCCAAATGACGAAAATTTACAAGAAAAAGCATGGAGTGCAGTATGTCCACTAGTAGGAAAACTAAAGAAGTTCTATGAGTTCTCCCAGAGATTGGGTATGTATTTTTCCTCTTGTTCTTAAATAGTATATACTGTAACTTTTTTGTTTTTTCTTTCAGTTTTTATATAATTCATTAAGGATAATAGTTAGACATCACTATTGTGAACCAAAAGCTGGTATTGTTGATGAACAAAATTGATGTGTGGGCAAAATGATTTGTTACTTTTGCCAAAGTATTTAAGTTTTAAACCGTTACATGAGTTTGGCACCTTTTTCTGTTTCAAAGAAATTGCGTTGAGCCCTTTAATTAAAGGGACCTTTTATATATTTTGATCTTAAAAAAAGGTTTAATCTATATTATGAGATTTAGCACTAATCCTTAGACTGTAGTCTGAAATTGTAATTTCCAGGCCATGCAGATGTGTTGAAAAATAATAGATCTCAAAAACTAATACATTGGTGTAATCAGTTAAAACTCATTTTTGTCAAGTAAAAGGCATAGAATTTTTATTCTTATTATTTAAGAAATGTACAGATTTGTGCATCACAATATGCCAATAGTTGCACATTTATTATTTGTCAATCATTATAGCTGAATGAAATCGGTGGTAGTTTAGAATTTCCACGTGGTCTGTTGGTGGAGAAATATTATCTTAAATGAGCCTATTATATAGTTTTCAGAAGTCGACCAGGCACTCAAAGGAATGTTTTAGGCCCTTGTTAGAAGAATATGAATAACCAACTGTTAATTGAGCGATCCTCAATTTCTTATTTCTATCTTTTTTCAATCCCTTGTTAATGTGTTATGGTAATTTTTTTCTCGCTAATCCTCTTATATTTGATTTTTGTCATGTTACTCATACTGTAATAGTTTAATGCAGAAGTGCTTCGTAACTTACCTATCAAACCCATTGTTAATGAAGTCTGTGATGTGAAGTTCTCTTGTTTGATTGAGAACTTTCAAATCTCTCTGAATAAGTTTGTATGCATTTGGTCTGATTCTGAGAGACTGCCCATCATTAAGCTTCAGTTTATACTGTTAAATTACGCTCCCATATCTACGTGGCAAAATGATTCAGCTGCAAAAGTAAGGGATCCAGATTTGGTAGTTTGATCCTTGTCAGTGTCTCCTACAATCTGAACTCAAACATTGAAATGAATGACTAACTATATGCCTTGCTGTGGGTAAATTTTAATTGCAGATTTGCAGTGGCATCGAAATCTGTTGCATCATTCTGTGATTAAGTACAGAATCTGGTTCACTAACTACTTCCAAACATACTACCAAACTCAGTGTTCACACAACTCTTAATACTCAAATTTAGCTTCCAGTATTGCCTTTGAGACTAAAAGAATGACTAATAAATGTAGGGTATAGGACAAGTATGTGATTTTTGCATTACCACAAAATAAATAATTTATCAATTTGTTTACCTTACAAATTCAATTTCCTCTGTACTTGTTGGTGTGGTAAAGTCAATAGAAAAAATTCCATTGTGAGCCTAATTGACAGTACTAATTTGGTTATCAACATAATTCTTTGCATACTCAATATTATCCAGCAAATATTGCCAAATTGCCAAATCACCAAATCACGTCTAACATTGGATACTGTGTTGCGAGTTTGGCATTGTGTCAACAGTGAACACTATTCGTTTTGTTTATACGTAATAGCAACACGAAACGGCTTTACCAGTTGCTCAAAGTTTTGAGATACCTTACTCTTCCAGAGTAATCTGAGGTAGACTGGGCCTTTATTTTTAGGAAAAGAATGATACCTTGAGTTCTTTTATGAGATTGTACAATGTATAACAAGGAATGACCTGATCATGGCAGCCATAATCATGCAGAGAGGGGCTTTGATATGGCCTATTTCAGCATTAAGCTTGCACATGAGCAAGTGGCTTGGGACCAATTTATGAGGTTGCCAAAGAAGCCAATCTCTGAGAGCATGAAACTGTAGGAGTTGCAATGTGTCTGCAGCTTTTCCTTCTAACCAAGCTGCACAGAGAGAATAAAGTGAGATACTGCACTTTATCTGCAATGAAAATCAACATGATTTTCATTTGTAAGTCATACCAATTTGGATTTAAAACTCAATACATAACTTTAATATACACGTGCCCTATTGTAATGGGACAAAATACTAAAAATATTAAACAACAAACCAGTTGATCAAAGGATGAAATTTTAACTTAAGTACTCTGATTAGTTTAACAGTTGTCTATTATAATTCAACTCTTGACGTTCATTCACATTAAATTCTCCTTTTAGAAGATCATTTGTTATGTGTATAATTTCAGTAACCCTTGTATTTGCAGAAAATAACCCAAACTTTCTCCATAATAGAAGCAGCTTTGCATGGCTTGTTGGGAGCACTGACTAGCACGCCATATAGTCCCACACAGCACCTTGAGCGAGAGCAGGCTCTTGCCAAGCAATTTGCAGAGATCCTTCATTTCACTCTACGATTTGATGAACTTAAGGTAAGCAAAAGTGTTTTTGAAATGGTATTCCAGCATCACCCGCTGACTCGATAGTGCACCATGTAGTAGGCAGGTGCATGTTTCATTCCTATTTACAATTTTCCTGTTTTGCTCAGCGTAGTAACTATGCAGACACTGCAGTGTCTTCATTCAGAGCAGATGGAGAAATCAGGAAGTTTCCTTCACTTCTAAGCGATTGCCCAAAGTAGCAGAAACACTTGGCACTTGTTGACAGATATTTGGAACACCTTGCTCTGAGTCAAAAGCATTTGAGTCCCACCTAAGGTTTGGTGACAAAGGAAGTGTGTTCATAATGCAGCCAAGCAGAAATGAGTGTTACCTGCAAAACCTTCCAACACATTCCAATAGTACATAAGATCAGGAGAGATTCCTGGTCAGTCATGTGATAGACAGAATATTGGAGTCTCTGCCATAGCTTCACACTATATTATGCATGCAGGAAGATGTGTTGCTATGGAAACTCCAATTCCCCAACTGGTCTGTGAGACACCACCGCCAGAATCTAAAATACATTTGGGGAAGGAAAGCAAAATGCATGCCCTTAATTGGAGAGTGAATATTCTCAACTTCACAGCATCATAAGTTAGCATTAACTTTGGGCATCTATTTAGACTCAGCTTCACCAGTCTAAAAATTAGTTTGTTTACTGTATGAAACCTGATTCTTTACTACTAAAGGAACAGAAAAAATCTTTGGGTGTAGAGCTGGATGAACACAGCAGGCCAAGCAGCATCAGAGGAGCAGGAAGGCTGATGTTTCAGGCCTAGAAGGGTCTAGGCCCGAAACGTTAGCCTTCCTGCTCCTCTGATGCTGCGTTCATCCAGCTCTACACCTTGTTATCTCAGATTCTCCAGCATCTACAGTTCCTATTATCTCAGAAAAAATCTGAGACTTTCTTTGAATAACACAACTTTTGTGCAACCCAACATTTGTGGAGCTTAGTTTTAGATCATAGAATCCCAACAGTGTGGAAACAGGCCCTTCGGCCCAACAAGTCCACACCAACCCTCAGACCATCCCACCCAGACCCATCCCCCTATAACCCACCTAATCTACACATTCCTGAACACCACAGGCAATTTAGCATGGCCAATCCACCAAGCCTGCACATTTTTGGACTGTGGGAGGAAACCGACACAGACACGGGGAGAATGTGCAAACTCCACACAGAAAGTTGCCTGATGCTGGGATCGAACCCGGGTCCCTGGTGCTGTGAGACAGCAGTGCTAACCACTGAGCCACCATGCCTCTAGAACTGTCTTATTCAGAGTCAGCTCTCAGCGAGTCAGAACCTCTGACATTCCTCTTTTTATCTGTCAGCCAGGGCTCCCTGATTGGACCAGATTAACAGTCCCAATCAGGGAACTCATAATCTATGAAGTCCAGCTGGCTGACCTCATTACAACCACTATATCCCTTCCCGTCAAAGTCCGAGGACATTGGTCAGTCCTTTTTCATGGATAGCCTCTAGGGACATTTTAGCACCTGGGTCAAGTTCCTCCGACTCCGCCTCCAGTACAGGTGGCGTGAGACACGTGGGAGCTTGCCTCTTGCACCAAGAGCACCTCAGTAGAATTTCACTTTCTTCTTCCAGCAGCAAAGGTGTTGAGGCAGCTACATCCGACATGTCCATTTCTGATTCTGAGGACTTGTCAATGCTTGGCAGAGAGGATGAACCCATGGGTTCCAGCAGCCCTTCCGATATGTTCTGAGGGACAGGGCACGTTTGTGAATTTGCAGCTTTCATATGGTCTACGTGCTTGTTCAGAACTGTCATATCTACCTGAACTTTATACGTCACTGGACCTGACCTCACGTTGAGCATGCCATTCCCGTGGTTCTTGTACCAAACCTCATTGCCTGTCTCTCCCTCTCTCTCTGTCTGTCC